GGCTCTGCAGTCTTCATCACTTTATCAGGTGTGTGAGAGAGTAAAGAGAAACGGATGTCTTAAGAACACATATATGGCCAGGTAGGTGTAAGGAAAGGAAGGAAATGCTTTATTCTGTGGGCCCTGCTGGGCACCCTCAGAGTGCTTGAGACACTTAATCTTTGGGTCATGGGTTTGTCTCCTTATTGGGCACAGATCAGACTGATGTAGTGGAAAAAGATAGTCACTGGCCCAGAAGTCAGGGGATACAACTAATCTTAGCTTGGCCACCACACAGCGCATTCTAAAACTAAATACCAGCAGTGCTCTGGAATTGGAACTGGTAGTGTAGCAGAGGCCAAGCAGCTCCATTAAGATGTCCTTAAGTGAGAGCCACTGCACATGTAAGTGACCCAGTACCAACTTTCAGAGAAGGCCAGGTAAATACTTGGCCAGACCTTATCTGAGCTGTGCCTGAGTCACACTGGAACTCTAGGGCCTCTCCAGTGGGATTCTACTTTCCTCTTTAGATTTCTAATGACCCTCAATGATCTTTTTTTTAATGTTACTAATGGAGCTTAAACTCAGGGCTTGGGTGCTGATTTGTAGCTTTTTGCTCAAGGCGATATTCTACCACTTAATCCACAGCTTCACTTATGGATTTTGGTGGTTAATTAGAGATAAGAATTTCAAGGGCTTTCTTATCTAGGCTGGCTTCAAACCATGATTCTCAGATCTCAGCCACTGGAGTTGCTAGGATTGCAGTCATGAGTCACTGATGCCCAGAATACTTTTAAAAAGGTGGAAACTCTGTTAAAAGATCCATGTAGTAATAACCAAACAATTATAGTACATGCAACATTCATAGCCATAATGGTAACGCAGCCATAAGCAATCCTAGCACATCACACACATGTGCCACCCAGCCACCCAAACATAGATTAGATAAGCTAATTTACACGCTGCTTATAGTCCCTGGGACAACCTGAAAAGCTCCACCTCAGCAAGCAGCTATAGCTTTGACTATCTTCTCTTAAACATGAACTAGGGGAAGAAGATGCTTAACTTCTTGAAGTAAAAAGAGAACAGAGTCATTCTAGTAGAGTAGTGATAGCTAAAACTAGGAAAATATGCTAATGCAATTCACTACAATAAAACCTTGTAGGAGAATCAAGAATCTGATGATTGTTATAAATGTAGAAGAAGCATTTGATAAAATTCAAACATCCCAATCTACACAGATGATAAAAGTAGATAGAACTTTATACACACACACATTAGTGTAAGTAAAAAAAATCTGAATATACACTCAGGGTAATCAAGGGACCTGTTTTTTATCTTAAAACGGATATAAATCTTCAAAATCTCAATAAAAAAATTCCTTTCTTTTGAAGTGAGAGGGCAGACTGAGAAAGACAGAAGATGAATTTCTTACTAAGATAAATCTGGCATCAACACATCAAAATGTAAAAGAAAAATACAGAAAATATTTTTTACTAAAAAGAAACCATCGCCATACAATCATTCCAGTGCTTCAATATAGCCTGTATAATATCATTAATGTGATGTTTTTGCATTTTAAGAAGTTTTTAACCTCTCCAAAGACATGCTAATATAAATATTGTACCAACATATATGAATAGAATGAAGACTAGCATACAATTTATAATACCTAAAATATTTAAAAGCACGTAATTATATGTTATATAATCCTTAATGTTTGAAGTGCTAGTTTTATTTCTGTTATCCTAATGAAAGTTACATAAAGAGTTTCACGAAGGAAGAATAAAAGGAGCTTTCATAATCTATCAAATCCTCTTAACCCTACAGTAAAATCATGATCAAGTTGTAATATATAGCTACAAAATCTGATTTTAAGGATGGCCATGATCACTACAGACATTTAATATCATATTAGGATCCTAGCCAGTGCCACTAAAAGTTCTAATTAGTTATGCTTGATTTTAATTCAGTAAGCTTAATTTAATATAAGCATACTTACAAGTAGAAGCATTTTTTTTTGGGGGGGGCGATCTGGTCATGGGGCCTAAACTCTGGGCCTGGGCGTTGTCCCTCAGCTCTTCAGCTCAAGACTAGCACTCTACCACTTGAACCACAGCACCACTTGCGGCTTTTTTTTTCTTTTTGCTTATGTGGTGCTGGGGAATTGAACCCAGGGCCTCAGGCATGCAAGGCAAGCGCTCTACCACTGAGTCACCTTCCCAGCCCACAAGTAGAAGCATTTAAAAGAAACAAAACTTTTACTACTCACGGGTCATGTGATGGTTTGGAAAATGCACTGTACTTTCTAGAACTAGGGAGTCTACCAAAGTTGCTGGAAGTAAGAGAGAGTTAGAAGCTGCAAAGCCCATGCTAGGCTCGGTGAACCAGACTGCCAAGTGAACAGACCAGACCAATGGCCCAGGAGTACAGAGAATAGAAATAAAAAAAGAGAAAAACCTGGAAAAGATCTAAGCTTGAATGAAGCCTACAGACTCTTGTAAAGTATTTCCCACTGCACCAGACCAAAGACTGAGACTCATGAAGGCCTAAATCTCTGGCTTGGGCAGCAACCCACCACTCACCATGACCACCTATCCAAACGGACGTGGTAAATAAGCATCTGCATCTGGCACTCAATAGGCCCACAACTAAAACACTCATAAAAGGGAAAATGAATATGTCTTCAGAAAACAGACGTTCTGGAAAAAGTTATTCTAATTAGGCTGCTGCAGAAGTCCTCATTTTTTATAATTAAAAACACAGTGTCCAATCCAATTAACAACTCATCACACACAGCTTCTGGGCTTTGGAACAAGGGCTCAAAATGTTGAAAGTGTCAGATCCACCCTGGATTTCAAAGACTTTTCACAATCAAAGGAAGATCAAATCTCACTAATAATTTTTACATTGTAAATGTTAACATGATAACATTTCACTTTAAAATATATTTAGTATTTAATTTGATTATTTACTGAATTTATTATGTTGTTAAATTCATTTCACCTGAGGTTTTTTTTTCCCTTTCATTTTTCTGTGTGTGTAACAGTCCTGGGGCTTGAACTCAGGGCCTATGTGCTATATATCAATCTTGGGGCTTTAAGTCATAGCTTGGGTGCTATCCCTGAGCTTATTTGTGCTCAAGTCTAGTGCTCTACCACTCAGCTACAGTTCCACTTCCAGCTTATTTTTAAAGCATAATTGGAATTAAGATTCTTGTAGACTTTACTGTCCAGCCAGGCTTTGAATCATGATCCTCAGCTCTCAGCCTCCTAAGTAGCTTAGATTACAGGTATGAGTTAAAGCACCTGGCTCCTCTTGCTTTTTTTAAGGCTATGCTCATTTGACACAAAGTCAAAAGGTATTTTAAATGATATGCATAAGATAATTTCTGTAGCCTTTAAAATATAACTAAATATGTTTATAGACCTTTTGTAGATTACTTGATAGTAAATTCCTGCAAGGCCATATAGAATCTTATACAAGACAGACCCTTCTATTAAGCTTCAATTTTTTTTGACAGGAATAGTTTTAAAAAGCATCAGACAAGCTGGGTGCCAGTGGCTAGGATTATAAGCATAATGAGACTTTAATCTCCAATTTATGTGAAAAAACTGGGAGTGGAGGTGTATTGCTCAAATGGTAGAGTGCCAGCCTTGAGTGAAAAAGCTAAGAAACAGTGTCTTAGGCACTAAGTTCAAGCTCTAGTGCTAGTACACACACACACACACACACACACACACCACACACACACACACACACACACACACACACACACACACACACACACACACACACACACACACACACACACACACACATTTGTCAGATAAATTATCAGTAACCCTCCCAACAGAGAGTCGCTTGGATCAGGAAAATTTTCAGAGATCACCCAGGTCAAAAGTGTTAGATCGAGAATCTGTTGACAGGTCTGTCAGGAGCTAATGCCAGCACGCTGCGGACTTCGATAATGATCATGGATGAGATCCTGTCTGGAAGTGACGATCTCTTTGGAAGTTGGTCACTATCCAGCTTGTGCAGGGTCTGTCCAAGCCATCCACATATCATTAAGAAGGCTCTCTCTGTGATTTGGACAGCGTAAACAGTTTTGAAAACAAGCACACCTACCCCGCTAGCTTTCAGGACCCCCTGCTTATTCCACTCTGAAAGAGAGTTGGGACTCTGTGAACGCAGCAGATACATAGCAAAACGGGCCAGAGACTGGCCAAACAAGGGTGCCTGAGGATGCGGAGACGTCAGTCAACTCCCTGAGTTCCATCTCTTAGATGAGGTCCCTGGCTTAACTCTTAACCTAGCTTAAGCCTCTGACTCTAGTGAACTCTCAGAAATACATTAGAAACAACAGCACTATTCAAGCGGGAGCAAGAATAATGTCTGCAAAAGAGAGAGAAGGAGGGAGGGAGGGAGAGAGAGAGAGGGAGAGAGAGAGAGAAAAAGAGAAAAGAGAGAGAGAGAGAGAGAGAGAGAGAGAGAGAGAAGCTACCTGGTCAGGAAGCAGAGACAGACTGTCAAAGAACAGACTTTCTAAAACCCCAAATATCTTCTACCATCAGGCTTCGGAAAATTAGAAAAACAAAATTTGGGTACTTCTTCCACCAGCACCCTTAAAACTATGCCCCCCCCCGCCCTGCACCATAGCCATGAGGAAATCTAGAGATATTATGCTAATCAGTGTGGATCCCCACAAAACGGTGATTTTCCTCCTGTAGCTGTTGAAAATAAAAGTGTAGGAGAAGGCAGGGGATGATAGAATGTCAGGGTCAGGAAGAAGGAAAAGTGACCAGGAAACACACACACACACACACACACGCACACACACACACACACACACACACACACACACACACACACACACACACACACACAGAAGGCACCAGTGACATTTGGGCCTGAATTTGGAAGTTTTGAATGGTTCAGAATGGGATACTTTGTCACCTCTGATTTAATTACAAGACTGTTTTCAGGATGCTGAAGGGCTAGACTCATAATCACGCACTTACGTAATCCTCCTCATTGAGTCCTTGTTTCTCAACAGAACTTTTCACCTCCATGGAAAACTTCTCAAACTCAGGTTTCACGGTCCTCAGTAGGGTGACTGTTTGGAGGGATGAGTACGCTTGCTTAGCTTCAAAGTCGTGTTTGTCTCCTCTCTTCCATGAGCCATCTCCTACGGGAGAAATGAAAATATTTATAATTCCAAGCTGGTTACCATAAAGAGGCCATTCTCTCCTTTTCAACTGCAATGTGTCTCTCTACATGGTACTTTTGGCAGCCAGCACGAGAGGTATTGTCATAGTTTTGTACTTGGGTATAATATGACCATGTCAGGATCATTAAAAGAGAACAAGGCTCTTTGGACACATGCTCCTTTGAAATGTGAGAAGGAAAGAAAAGCTTTGATGATGTAATTGCCTTATAATAACCATGTCACTGCAATTTTCAACCCCCAGAATGGCAACTCTGCAGGAGTAAGAAGTAAGCTTTATCACTTTCCATTCATACTTATTCTTAATACCTATAATCCACTCTGAAGGGGCCCAAGTTCTTAATGTGATCTAACAGGTCTGATGTTATGTAGATGAGGAAGACAAGTCACAGCTAGGCATGACAGTAGAAATGCATGCACATTTTAAAGTTGGCACTGGTAGAAGACAAAGTTTGAGATTATTAGCCAGTTGCTAGTGGCTATGGATGTAATCTCAAGCACTTAGAAGGCTGCGATCTCAGGGTAGAGGTCTAAAACCAGCCCAGGCAGAAATGTCACTGAATCTCTTTTTATTGACAATTAATAAGAGAAAAGCTAGCAGTAGAGATGTGGCTCAAGTGGTAGAGTATCAGTCTTGAGCAAAAAGTCCATGTGGGAATCTGAAATATAAAATTAAATTAAAACAGAAAGAAAAGCCGGGCGCCGGTGGCTCACGCCTGTCATCCTAGCTACTCAGGAGGCTGAGATCTGAGGAAGTGGCACTGTGGCTCAAGTGGTAGAGCGCTCACCTTGAGCTGAAGAGCTGAGGGACAGCACCCAGGCCCAGAGTTCAAGCCTCACGACTGACAAAAGAAAAAGAAAAAGAAAGAAAAGAGAAGACAAAAAGAAAAATGGAGTGGAGAAGTGGGGGGGGATGTACACAAGAATCCAGTGAAATCCTCCAAAATTAAGAAGAGTAAGATGAAGGAGGGGGGAGGGGAGGGATGGGTGAGAACGTTGAAATGGGTGACAGTGGTCAGGATATACTGTAATCATAAATTACTGTGTTAAATGGCAACTCCTTTGTACAACTACTTAAAGATAATAATTTTGTCTTTAAAAAAATAAACAAAAGTTCGAGATTATCGGTATTTCTTGCATTTCTCCCTTAGAAAGGTCCTTCAATGTACTTGAAGGTTTGTATCTCTTTAGGGCTGGCGATGTCATTAAAATTATTTATTGGCCAAAGATCAACAATTTGTTGAAGGTAATAAGTAAATATACTGATTGCATATATAATAATAGCTCCATGTATTGAGTGCCATCTATATACAAGCTCATTGAATCCTTACAAGACACTGTACAAAGGCTACTTTCTATTTTGCAGATGAGGAAACTGAAGCACTGAGATGATGCTGGGCATATTTCCTACTTTGCAGTTATCCACTTCACAACAGCAAAGGCACATCACAGGGACAGGCCCATTGCCCTGCCTTTTATCTCATTTTTGAGAAAACGTGACCTCTAGGACTACAAAAGCCAAGGTAGACTGTTAGCTATTGAATAAGATGTGTTTTTATTTTACTTATGAATGATAGAAATCCCTGAAGACAGTAGAAGGAGCATAGGCTGCTGGCATCCAACACAAGTCATTTGTGCATCCTGAGCTCCCAGTCTGGATAAGATGCTTGGTTAAGCCAGAAGCCCAAACACTAAGGCACGAGGATGTCTCTGGACCTGCAGTCAAGTCTGTGGCACTCCCTCTACTCTTCTAGAAGACGAATAGAAATTTAGTGGCTCTTGGACGTTTATCCAGAGATTACAAGTCAGGATATAGCAAACTCACTGGGCAATCATGTTCACTACTGCACTGTTCACCATGGAAAAGTTATGGAAACAACCCAGATGCTCTTCAATGACAAATGGATCAAGAAACATATGATGCAAACATATTTACATCCATCCATCCATCCATACATACATATATACATACATACATACATAATGGAATTTTATTCATCTATTAGGAAAACATATCATTTGCAGAAAAATCGATGAAAAATGATGTTAAATGAAGTAAGTTAGGCTCAGAGAGACAAAGGACTCATGCTTTCTCTCATATGTAGAAGTTAGATCTAAAGTATAAACACATATTTAAATACATACAGGGTCATGTGCATCTTTACACAAAAGTATTAACTAAAATATAGTATATTCAGGGGAGATTCCAATGGTGTAACCCCTTTGAACAAGAAACTTACAATTTAACAAAATCAAAGCTAGTAATCTGGAACTTATGTCAGGGGTGGTGATTCGTGGGGGTAGACAAATGGGTAGACAGGCAAGGCAAATGCACTCATTACATTCAATATATATGTGAAAATGGAACTAGGAATATTAAGGAGATGGCTGAGGTTGGGAGGGACAAAGGGGAAAATTATGAAAGGGGTGATGAGCAAGACACATTGTATTCTAAACTGACAAATTGAAACACCTTGGCACAACTAAGGATATTGATAATTAATAATAATACCACCTATGGATCTGGAGTTTCTATCATAGCGCAAGTCAGAAAAGATGTTTATGTTATATACAAGGTAGCTATGATGTCCTGAATAATTTCCATCAAATTTGAGAAATGTAGTGTCAGACATAGAAACAAGTGGAGTTGCTGTAGAGAAAGGGTAACAGTGTACCATGGGGATGGGAGAGAGAGAGAGAGGATGCAGAGAAAGAAGCAGTGAGCTCCAAGCAGGGCACAGGCCTCCTGCAAAGACAAAGCTTTGGCCTGGTCCTAAATGTGTGAATAGGATTTTAACAGGAGGAGGAGAAGGTGGAAAGGCATGCCTGGCAGTGCCCACGTGGGCAAAGGTGCAAATGTGTATGACATCCAGCGGGCAGCTGGGAGTCTCAGTCTGGAGCAAGAAAAAGGCAGCGACAAAGAATGTGTTTGTGGAGGCATCTGTAACATCATAAGCCTAATAATAGCAGCCATTTATTAATTGCTTACTATGTGCCAGGGAGCTGTTAAAAGATAAATGAGAGCTGAGGACAGAATTCATTAAGGACTAGATCCATGCTCAATGAGCACAAGATTAAATTTCAAGCCATCAAACAAAACTTGACCAAGTTTTCTTGCTTTCCTGTGAAGCTTCCCAACCTTTGAGGCAGCCATAGCCCAAGCAAAGCCCACGCCTGTATTCAGGGAGTCAGTGTGCTGGGGTCTCTATAGTCATGGACACACCACCACAGGGAATCTGAACCCACTGATTAGTTAAGCCCCCAAGTTCTAAGAATGCCCCCAACTTTTCTTCCCATGGAGGAACTCATTTCCTATTGGTTTTCATTTGACTCAAAGTGCCAAGACTCCTTGAGAGCAGAAGAGACCGCAGGGAATGCAGCTCAGAGGTAAAGCACTTGTCTGGCATTCTTGAGGCCCCGAACTTGATCCCCAGCACAGAATTAATTAATTAAATTAATAAATACTCATCAGAAGGGGTGCTTCTTAAGCAAAAAAGAGTGAGAGGTTTTAGCACCAGAAAAAGACTTCTCTCCGGAGGTTGAGAAATATCTAAACTTGCAAGATTTTATGTACAGAATTAGAAAATACACACAGAACTGGACAAAACAACGATCTCAGTTACTGAATTCAGAAAAAAAAAAAAAAAACCACAACAGTTTTTTTTTAAGGAAGTGAAATCTTAGCCAATAAATCTGTTTCTCCAGGTAATCATTTGGAGTTGTGTTTTTCAGGAGAATGGAAACAATAGTAGTTTCATAAATCTAAGCCAAGCTAAACAGGTGTCTTGTCTGCTTACAAGTACAACTGCCTTCTGCGGGCATCTCTTAACTGGGGATGTGCCATGACATCCCTTGTGTTGGGAATGTTTGACACGGAAAGCAAAGGTCGGCCTGGCATGACGTCCCAGGAGGAGACGAATTTAAATTCAGTAGACAACTGGGTGCCTCTGGAGATTTATGGGCGGAACAGAAGAGTGACAGGATGAGAACCTTGCCTTTGGAAAGGGCGGTGGATTAGAGTGGAGAGACGCTGAGCATTCACAGCCACAGTAATCCAGGCAGGAGGTTGTCAGGGGTCATACACGGAGGTCACACGCCAAAAAATTCAGAAACGGTTCTCTGGGTGACACATAAGTTTTCTTCCCCTCCTCTCATATCTCTCTCCTTTCCTTCCTTCCTTCCTTCCTTCCTTCCTTCCTTCCTTCCTTCCTTCCTTCCTTCCTTCCTCCCTCCCTTCCTCCCTCCCTCCCTTCCTCTCTTCTCTCCTTCCTCCCACTCTTCCTTCCTTCCTTCCTCCCTCCCTGCCTCCCTCCCTCCCTCCCTTCTGTCCTTATATCTTCCTATGGCTACAGTAATTTTCAATAATAACAATAACTTTCTACATTCATAATCATTAAGATTTAGCACCCTTGAGAACGTAGGCAGAGAACTTGCAAGAGGACTCTCAAGACTCTCTGTCAGTGAGGGAGGGGTGGTTAACGATAAGGTGGAGCATCACCTTAGAAACAGCAAAACTGAGCAGAGGAAGGGGATTAGGTGGATGTGGCAATGAAAACTTCAGTGAGGGTCACAAACTTCAGTAATGGTCATATGAAATTCAAGATGATTACAAAATGTGCAAGTGGCATCATCAGGCTGGAGTTGGAAACAGAGGTCTGACACCAGAAAAAGGAGCGAAGGCCAGACAGAATACTGGGTACCATTTCCACACAGCTCACTGTTATAGTGCAGGGACTGCCTACTCTGGATGGAAAAGAATGCAGGAAGAGAAGAGAAGGAGCAGAGCTGGGCACAGAGACTGTTTTCTTAGTGGTCAAAAAAAGTAAGGGGGGCAGAGAGGAGTTAACACAGAACCCAGAGAACTCTGTGTCATGAAGGCAGGAGCACAGGGCTTCTAGGAAGAGGTGAATGAGAAAAGGGCTCCCTTCCCACATCCAATGTAATAGCCACTAGCCATATGTGGTTAGTAACACTTGAAATGTGGAAAGTAAGTGACTAAGGATCTGAACTTTTTGTCATGCCTGTAGCCAATGTCTACACTATTGAGTAATACAGAGGAAAATACAGCCCACCAGGCATGGAGGTGGTACACACCTGTAATTTAAGCACTCTGAAGGATAAGGTATGATGAACATGAGTTGGAAGTCAATAGGGACTATGTAGCAAGTGTAGCAAGATACCGTCTCAAAAAAAAAAAAAAAGAATAGAATATAGCCAACATCACATTAGACAACACTGTGGAAGCATACAAATATGGTCCTGGCTAATAATGAGAAGGCCTGTGGTGATCTTGAGGCAAAGTGGTTATTAATATCATATTCTTACAATGATGTTGAGCAACTAAGAAGGAGGGAGTGTATTTTCCTCTCTGAAGAGATCACTGGAAAGGGAGATGGAATTTCTAAGGTTGGCTTAGACTATCATCTGTAGAGTGATATCCACTAATTTACATTCTAAGAAAGTAATGCCAATGGTTGATAATACCAATAGACTCTTAAAAACTCTATGGGAAAATAGGTCATCTTCCCTCTCTAGACTTCTTTAATCTATTGTTTCCTCTCTAGATGTTTTAATGGTGTATATTAATGGTACAAAGAGATTTCACTGAAATAGTTCCATACATGCTTACACATGTTTTGAGCAAATTGATCCCCTGTATTACTCTAAAATTTTCCCTCTAAAATTTTCAAACCTACCTTTTAATTTTTATTTGTGTATATGCTAGTACCAAGGCTTGAACTCAGAGCCTCAAAGTCTTACTCACAGCTGGAGCTCTACCATGTGAGTCACACCTCTAACCCAATATTTCGCTAGTTAATTAGGGATTGAATCTCATAGATATTTCTTTCCAGGCTAGCTCTGAATCTTGATTTTCGAATCTCAGCTTCCTAATAGCTTGGATTACTAGAGTGAGCCATCAGCACCTCGGCTTAAACCTATTTTCAGTCACTTGAATTCCTCATGATATATTATGCTCTAAAGGCCTATAACAATATAGTTTAGATAAATCTGGAAACATATCCTCAGTGTTCATTAAGATCAAACAACCTAGTCATCTGTAAACTGGACACATTAATATGTCTAAAACTCCAATATCAAGCAAATATTGATGAAAGTAGAGGCCTTTCTCTAGAATAGGAATAGGTTGTGCTGTAAGGAAACATAGGGAAAGAAGAAGTTAAGAAACTTTTCATAATCATGTACTTAAATATTAAGGTATAAAAATCTCAAAAACTTTCCTGGTGACTAGTGACACATGAGAACTTTGGTTCAGGTGACCGCCAACATATAATTCCATTTACTGCTTCTTCTTCCTAGGATAAAGGATCTTTTTTTAACATCAAGAAGATACACATTGGTATGTCCCTACATTCATTCTCCCTTCTTCTACACTACTAAATTTCCAAGTTGATTTAGAGTGTCAGTGAGTCTAGACAGGGGTATGCAATCCCTGACCCCTGTTGCAACCAGGAAGAATCAATCTTATGTAACCAGAAGTTAATGACTTGGGGTTTCCAAGGGAAACTGTCAAACAGAACCAAGTCGCCTGGAAAAATCTCTTTTAACCCATTGTCTTTCCCCTAGTTTGCCTGTAATTGCATAATAATCCCTAAAATCTTGGCCGCCATTTTTGATCTTGAGAATGAACCTTGGCACTAAGGTTGAGGGAACAAAGGAAAGAGGTTTGTGTCCCAGTGATGTTTATGGAACTCCGTTCCTCCCTTGGACTTTTTACTTCTAAAATAATTTCAGTGAAAGAATAAACATCTGCATTTGTTTCAGTCAATAGAATTGAGAGTCTCAGTAACGTGTATGTAGATTTAATTCCTAATATCCTAATATATATAATATATTATATAACATATATAATAATATATCTTAGCTAAATGTATATATATTAGCTAAATGCTGGCTAATTCTATGACAAAAAGTTTACAAACCTCACTAAGAGTTTTTAAAGTACTATAAGCAAAGTTAACTAATAGTAGACTAATCATGAATAGGACTAACATTTATTAAATAGTTATTATGTTTCAAGAAGTTTGCTAAGTGTTTTATATACACACTCTTTAATTACTCAGCCTGATATCTTAAAGTACTATCATTGTCATTAGAGGAAACTAAGGATTGCAGAGGAAGGCATGGTGAAATCATGTGGCCAGGATTAAGGATTAAGTTATTAACTCTTAGCTCCTACTGTTAAGAACTAGAATATGGCTCAGCCTTTCAAGCACTAATGCCAGAGCCCAAAGTCTAAGCAGCCTAGTGCAAAAGGTAAAATGAAAGCAATTTAACAAACACATCACATTGCATAAGAACACTCTCTAACTCTTTGCAATTAAATGTTCAAGAAATTTAATTTCAGAAAGACAAAACTTGTGGGAAGTAACTTTTAAAATGTTGCCCAAGCCACCAGTAATAATTCATCTAGATACAACTTCTTATGCAGCCCATTGTTCTTAATAGCAAAAAGTTTGGAGCAATGTGAACACTGAGAAATAATGTTGCTTAAGGTGGCATGTCAACATTATAGATTGTTATTCAGTGAAACTATAAATAGTATGGCTATTTTTGTAATATTTTAGTAAAAATATGTATATATGACAGAAGATACATATTTCTGAAAATTATTAATGTTCTTTGACTGACAGAATAATAGCCTATTTTTCCCATAAATCCCTTTTAATATTTATGCATTTCAGTTAACTGCAATATTTATTCACTTCAATCAACAAGGAAAAGTTATTTATGGATGAAAGTATCCAATGCTTGCACTTTTTTGTATTAGGTGAACAGTGCACATGAATACATATGCTAAATGTGATTGCCTAGTTATCATGTGCATTGAACTCATTTGCTACCCTGAAAAACTCAGAATGAAATGTTTTCTGCTTTTAGCATCTCAATTCCTATGTTAAAGAGCTCAATGCTGCTGCCACGAATGCCATCACATTCTGATCTTAGGTCAAGAAGTACATCCAGGCTGGGCATGGTGGTGCAAGCCTCTAGTTGCCATTAACACTCAGGAAACGAAAAGCAGGAGCATCACAAGCTTAAAGCCACCTTGTGTTATATATCAAAACTCTCAGTAAAAACACAAGAGGGATGGCAGGGAATGAAAAGGAGATGGGAAGGAGAAAGACTAGGTGGGAGAGAGGGGGAGAAGGATATGACAGGAAAACAGGGAGAAAAACCAACACTCCAGTGCTGCAATAAGGGAAAAGACCATCGTATTTAGTTTGCAAGTCTCAAATCTCTAGTTGTATCCACTACAGGAAGCAGTGGCTACTCTTGTTTTACCAACTTTTCTTGAACCCCCATGAAAAGTGTATTATATTATCTGTGTATACAAAGTGATCTACTGCTTAACTAAGCCAGGATATCTGGAGAGGAAACCAGAGCTAATGCTTGAAGGTTTGGATCTTGTCTAACTACATGTCATCAGCAAGAACTTAGAAGTGGAGTTCAGCATAAACATACCATTTGTGATCTATACACTGAACGGTGCAGCTTTGAGCAACCAGCATGCAGGCTAATGTTCTCTGGCCTTCAATTGTCTACTTCAGAGAAAGTCTTAACTTAAATGAGGGTGGTGGAGAATGCTTTGTATCAGTGATTATGATGAGCTCTTTAAACATTCCCTCATCACAAGGACCCTAGAAACATCCCCAGATCTGTTGTAAGGAATCAATGATGATGTCAACCCTGTATGTTAGCAACTTTTACGGTCTATATAGAAGATGCTGAATATGTGATTATCTGGAAGAAAGGGGGTTCCGAGCAATGACTTCAAATGTTTTTACCTCTATTTATAGTAATGGTGACTTCATTCACATTGCAACACATTATAGATCTATGTGTGCATAAAAACATACATGCAGTGGTACTGGCAAAATAAAAGTATTATGAAATAATTCAGGTGCTAACCATCATACCTTAGCATGTTCTGTTCTATTATGCAATTTTCTAGTTTATTCATTCTTTTATTGATAGTCTCCTCACTCTGACTAAAATTATTTTGATAGTCCACCATGATGATAGCAATCTACGATAGAAAAGCACTGGGCAAGGGGTCTTTGCCTGCCTTTAGGATCCTATGGAGTACAGGAGTGGGCTGTGAAATTAGAGATGCTGTGTGAGTGCTCAGAATCACTCATTTCCAAATTTGGATTAGGAAAATCACACTTATGGGAATAACTCAAATCTTTAGTTTTTCCTCTCCCCACCCTTTGGCACATTTGCAGCAGTCTGGGAAGCTGGAGGTAGTTACCATAGGAAGAACTGTTGAAGAGTTCAATGTTGAAGAAGGCGTAGTCTCCACTGGTCATGCCATGTCTGTGCACTGCCAACATGATGCTCCGGATGGTGTCACCACTGGCACACATGATCACCACTGGGGAGAAGGACAAGAAACACATGAATTACCCCATAGTAGCAGTCAAGAAGCCACCAAGAAAGGGTGAACAAATGGTGCTCACTGGGAACTATGTTGAAACTGTACCATTTGTGGGAGTAGCCAGAAGAGAAAAATTGGGAGAGAGTGAGGTTAAGGATGACATTGTACAAAAAGAAATGTATTCTTTACCTGACTTAGGTAACTGTATATCACCTTTAAAATAACATAAAAAATTGTTTAAAAGAAGCCACCAGTGCCGGGTGCCAGTGGCTCATGCTGTAATCCAAGCTACTCAGGAAGCTGAGATCTAAGGATTTCAGCTCAAAGCCAGTCCAGGCAGGAAAGTCTGTGAGACTCTTATCCCCAATTAATCACCAGAAAACTGGGAGTGGTGCTGTGGCTCAAGTGGTGGAGCACTTGCTTTGAGCTGAAGAGCTGAGGGACAGCACCCAGGCCCAGCGTTCAAGTCCTACAACCAGCCAAAAACAAAAACAAAAAAGCCACAAAAAGCAGAAGACACAGAAAAGAGAATTTACACAGTTCTGAAATACCTACTCAATATCTACCTTTTATGGTAGTTCTCATTTAACTACAAGACTATTTCGAGTAGATTCAAGAACTTTGTAACTCTTGTGTTTCCATAAATATACATACATGTCATAAAGTTTAATGTATAAATTAGGAACAGCAGAGATTAATAATAACTAACAATAAAACAAGACAGCATATTCCATAAAAAGTAATTGAAAATTTATGAACTGTTTATTTGTGAAAATTTCCATACAATATTTCCAGCCCATGGCTGGTTGTGACTAACTGAAAGCCATACACATAAAGGTTTGTGTATTGAAATCACAAAGGAAAAAATAGTAACTTTACTATAGAAAACCCTAGCAGACAGCCCTGGACAAAGTGGTGGGAGCCAACAACACCAGCCATGAGAGCATAAACTCACCAACCTCCTGATGGATACCTACCATGCACCAGAAATTCTAAAAGGGTGATATGCATGTAGCAGGGGGAAGTGCCTGCAAGCCCAGCTCAGGGGACATCAGAGTCATTGGTTTAAGCTCTTTAAAATCATTGAGCTCATGAAAAACAAGAATAGGGTGACAAAATGTTCTAGGCTGAAGGAGACTTAAGAAAAGCTTAATGCTATGTGTAATACTTAAACGGATATTAGACCTTAAAAAAAGTAAATAAGGGCTGGGAATGTGGCTTAGTGGTAGAGTGCTTGTCTAGCATGCATGAAGCTCTGGGTTCAGTTCCTTAGTACCACATAAATAGAAAAAGGTAGAGGTGGCGCTGTGGCTCAAGTGGTAGAGTGCTAGCCTTGAGCACTGTGGCTCAAGTGGTAGACTGCTAGCCTTGAGCAAAAGAAGCTCAGGGACAGTGTGTCCAGGCCCTGAGTTCAAGACCCAGGACTGGCAAAAAAAAAAGAAATAAAAGTTTTGTATATAAATGGTATTGTGTCAGCTAATAAAATGTAAGGTTTATAAATGAGAGAGTAGAAAGTGTTTGTATTAAATTTCTTGTTTTTCTTACTAATCTTGTGAATATGTAGTGAACATCCTTGTTCATAAATGTTTAAAAGAAGCATTATCCTGTAATTACTCTCAAATAATTCATAAGATAGTATTACCTCATAAATATATGTGTGTATGTGTACATATATTATAGATGGGTAGATAGATCTCTAGATAGATCGATAGACAGACAGACAGTCAAGTGTGGTGGTATGTATCCATAATCTCTGTCTGGAGAAACTGAGGTAGAAGAATTGCAAGTTCAAGGTAAAGTCTCAAAACAATACAAAATGCAGAAATGGATATGTGATTCAAATGGAAGAGCACCTGCCTTGAATAAAAAAGCCAAACAAGATCTCAAGGCCCAGTACTACTACCGTTAAAAAAAGAGAGAGAGAGAGAGAGCAAGGAATTCTAGAATGTATTTTGGACAAAAACAAAACAAAACAAAATAAAATGCAAGATACATGGGTAGATAGGTATGGATAGAGGATACCAGAAGAGAGGTGAGGGATTTAAATTGTTAAGGCAAATATGGCAAAATATTAACTACTGGTGAACATCTGGGCGAAAATTATTAATAGTCCTTTGTATTTTCCTAAAACTTTAACAAAAGTGTAAAACTATGACAAAATAATTTTAAAAATACAATTAAAATTTTTTAAGTGCTATGTTTTCCTAATATAAGACAAGGAAGAGCATCAACAGCTTCACATACTTAATAGCATGGTACATACGTATTCCTGAAAAAGAAAACTCACTGGGTTTAGAGAGAACATTGCTCTGGGAAATCAGTGAGTGCTGGAGGCTCTCCACTATCTGCATTTGAAAGTAAATGCAGAGTTTCTGTTGAGTTGTCTCAACAGAAAGAGAAAATAGATAACAAGATTCCAGTACACATTCATACTCTCTCTCTCTCTCTCTCTCTCTCTCTCTCTCTCTCTCTCTCTCTCTCTCTCTCTCTCTCAGTTTATAGCCTGACTATTGGATTTGAGAGGCTTTAGACAGCTTCAGAGATTGCTGCTTGTGACCTAAGAATGACACAGGCTGGAATGAAGTGGGGAGTTGGCCACTGTCCAGTCAATCTAATGGCTGTTGGCTCACAGGCTCTATGACCAGGACCACTGTATTTGCTACACACACAGCATAAAACGGAGAAAGAAAACCACAGAGACCTGGGTGCTATAAATTGCGTTATCATGATTCATGCCAGCTCTCCAAGATGTGTATGCTCTTTGTAAAAGTATGGGTGCTGAAAGATGGAAAACAAACTGCAGGCTGTGTTTAAAAGGCCTTGGCATTCTGCAAGGAAGGCTGGTCTCCTGTTGATAGTTCATTTACTACAAAAGTTAACTCAAGAGTGTCATGTCATGACTCTGACATTTCTTACTACAAAAGGCTTCCAGGGAGCAAGGCATAGTGTGGCATGCCTGAAAACCCAGTATCAGGCAAATAAATAAGAAGAAGAGCATGTGTTCAAGGTCATCCTGAGCTATAGACCAAGAGGACCTACCTCAAAACGGCTCTGTGTACATGGGAATAGCCCTAATGAACAGGATTCTTAAATATGAATATAGTAATAACACAAAAAATAACCCTAAAGATCTTAACTATGGGAGTAGTTGTGTCTGCTTGGAAATGTATATACTTGCAGTAAATAATTACTGCCTTGGGAAGAAAGTTCTTGAAGAAACTCTTAAATATTCCTTAGAATCTAGTCCCTTGTTTTGATCTAATTTTGTTCTAGTTCCTTCAGTGAAAAACACAGCCAAGGGGCTGAGGCTGTACTATTGAAGAATATGGATTCCAAGAATAGCATCTCTTAGAGGATCTAGAAAGACCTGAAAGGCTATCTACGAAGCTGTGTTGTCATTTTTTTTTTGACCAGATGCTCATAGCCCAGGGTCTACTTCTCAATCCCCACATGAAAAACCTGATTCTGTCCACATACAGAGTAGAGTCATGGCTGAGGGGCAGTTCCTGATAACCTACACCAGGTACGTACACGTAGATACTCTAGACTTCATATTACCAGAATTCCACGGGAACAAGAATGGCTACAAATATACTGTTGCCACACGTTTTGTATCTGGACTTGTTAAGTGGAGAATCAAATGACAATCAGGAAAATCAGTTGGAGGACTGAGGCGTCCCAACACACCAAGACCTGATCAACATAATCATCCATTTATCACCTATCATCACCCATGTCCAAACACAAGAGCACACATTTCCTTAAATCCTGGATGGATGCTACCCATCACTAAGTTTTGTGCTACTCTTGTTTTCACCCACCTGGTCTCTCCCTTCTCCCCTGTTACTACTACCACTAAGTCCATCTTTCAAAGTGAATATGCACTTAGACTGAGCAAGAGCATTTGAGAGCAGCATTCATCTGTCTGTGTAGACTTTATTCTTCATCTCAGGTATTTTGGATTGAACATGGTGTTTACTTTTGAATGGAAATCTGAATTTCCAAGTACATGGTCAGGGCAATGTCTTTCTTGAATAAAGCAAACCCATCGTGCACACTGTCATCTGGTTTCAGTTCAACTTGAAGCAAACATTCAGTGACACTGGCAAAACCAGAGTATAGAATCTTAGCTTTGTCTGACAGTCCTTCAATGTTTTATGCTTGTCTCCTTCATGCCTAATTAAACAGCAAGTATTTCTGGCAATGTGCCTTTATCCAATCTATCAAAAGGTTTAAAATTGTTTTCATTGAAATAGTTCTCTGTTCCCACTTAATTTTCATCAATGTATACAATACCTAAATCACTAACTTTAATGAGCAAGTGACATAAACAGATTTGAATACAGCTCTTAGAATGTGGAGCTGAGTGAGATGTATGTGGGGGGCTTAGGAGAAATATAGATGCTGGCACTGCCAACAGTTGCTGAGACTGGCAAAGAAACACTGTATCAGCAAACTGCCTAGATAGAGGTGGTTGAAGACAGCCCCTGTTGCATCCAAGTATATTTAAGTATATATTCATTTTCTGTCAATGTACTAGGCCTCTGAAAGAGGATATGATGGCACTATGATAAGTGTTTCTAGATGGACTTTCCATCCTACTCTACATTCACTTATGATGTCCCATATCATCTTTCCCATCCATGGTCACACTGTCTTCTGCAAGTGGCTTCTCCATATTGCAACATGTTGTTGCAATCGTTCTGATAACATCAAAAGGGGTAAGTGTAAGAAAAGGCTCTAGCTGCCCATCCAGAGACTTAAGCACATGCCAAGGCAGGGTTAGAGGGATTCCCTTTCCTTACTCTTAGATTCCCATCTGAATAAGTTCTAAAGGGTAAGCATTCTTTGTCAATCAAGGAGCTTTGGCTACTCCAACAAGAGGAAGCACAGTGAATAGTCTAAAAGAAAACTCTGAGCCCGTTGGGTTCTGTTCATTCTTCCTCTTGGAGAAGTATAAAGAGTGTGCTCTGTGGGCTACTTCTGATATGTGGTAA